ACCTACGCTCGGTTCGCAATAAACAACTGCACCTCCCAGTCGTGAACTATTTCAACTCCCCCGCCCATTCCTCAGACGACATGTCCATCCTGGGCCTCCTGCAGTGCCACAACGATGCCACCGAAGGTTGCAGGAACAGCAACTCATATTCCGCTTGGGAACCCTGCAGCCCAATGGTATCAATGTGGATTTCACAAGTTTCAAAATCTCCCCTCCCCCTACCGCATCCCAAAACCAGTCCAGCTCGTCCCTGCCTCCCTAACCTGTTCTTCCTCCCACCTATCCCCTCCTCCCACCTCAAGCCGCACCTCCATCTCCTACCGACTAACCTCATCCCGCCCCCTTGACCTGTCCGTCCTCCCTGGACTGACCTATCCCCTCCCTAACTCCCCACCTACACTCACCTTTACTGGCCCCATCCCCGCCTCTTCGACCTGTTTGTTTCCTCTCCACCTATCTCTCCTCTATCCATCTTCTATCCGCCTCCCACTCTCTCCCTATTTATTTCAGAACCCCCTTCCCCTCCGCCTTTTCTGATGAAGGGTCTAGGCCCGAAACGTCAGCCTTCCTGCTCCTATGATGCTGCTTGGCCTGCTGTGTTCATCCAGCCCTGCACCTTGTTGTGCTAAATTACAGACAGTTTCTGTCAGTGAGGCTCTCGCTTAGGGTCCTGCATCCCATTGAGTGAAATTGTATCAATGTCAGTTCATATGATAACAGGATTCTAATCCAATTGTTCAAAGGCTTGAAAAACAAATCAAAAATCAAGAATTTGCTTTAACAAGTAATCAAATCAAATTTCTAAGATTCACTGCTATTTTAAGGCTCATGTGATAACACATTCCTTACATAGTGATTCCTTATGTAGTAAATCAAAGCGCACATTATATTCAAATCTGCGCATGTAGATTATTGTATATGTTTTTCTTCAATACTGAGGTTTCTTTATACAAATGCAGATAATTAAAAGAAGAAAAGATTCAGAGTACTAATCTTTCTCTTGGATACTTTTGGGTGTTGTTTTGTCCGTTATTTGTTGAGACGGTTCTTGTAGCAGGCCAGTAACAGAGAAAATCCAAAGTGGTTTTACATAACCTTTGTGTAAAATTGCGAAGGTTAAATGATCAAAAACGCACAAGTCTGCCTACCTTTGTAGATCCCAAACAGTGAATTCTATCACTGGAAAAGCTCAGGGGCAGAGAATGCCTGGGGTACTCTGCTGTGTTCTTTGGCTGAAGTTTCTTGAGAACGTCCACATATGTAATTGGGAAGATTCCTTGGCGATTTGTCCCAGGAATCCGTCCTTCGTACCAGTTTTGATCGACTCGCCTGACAAGAATGACCCTTTCACCCTAAAGAAAGCAGATATTTCAGTTGTATAGTCATTGGCCTATAATCAAGAAAGTTTTGACAGATTTCTGTTCATATTCCCTCAGAACCTGCTCATATCATTTGACTCCCATTTAAGATAAAATCTTACTGATGCTAAAATCCAGCCCAATAATTAGCATGACGCCTCACTGGGTTCAAATGTCCACCTGAAAGAATGACTGCTTGCCAAAAGAGATGGTAACCATTTTTGAATTTCCTTCACAAACAAAATCTGAAATTGCTGGAAAACCTCAGCAGGTCTAGCAGCATCTGTGGAGAGAAATCAAAGTTAATGTTTCAGGTCCAGTGACCATTCTCCAGAACTGAATCTCCTTATCTCCACAGCCAGCAGAGTGGGATGTGGGTGTCACTGGCTGGACAGCATTTATTGAGCAACCCTAGTTACACAAGATGATGTTGAGGTGTCTTCTTGAAACACTGCAGCCCATTCTGTGTAGATGGAGCCATAATACCATCAGGGAGGGAGTTCCAGGATTTGATCCGGTGACAGTGAAGGAACAGTGATATATTTCCGAGTGTGGATGGTGAGCGACTTGGTAGCGGTGTTCTCATGTATTTGCTGCCCTTGTCCTTCTAGATGGCGATGGTTGTGGATTTGGAAGGTGCTGCCTTCAGCAACTGAATTTCTGCAGTGCATCTGGTGGGTGGTACACGCTGCTGCTATTGAGTATCAGTGGTGGAGGAAGCGAATGTTTGTGGATGTGGTCCAATCAAGAGGGCTGCTTTGTCCTGGGATAGTGTCAAGCTCCTTGGGTATTTTTGGAGCTGCACTCATCCAGGCAAATGGGGAGTATTCCATCATACTCCTGACTTGTGCCTTGTAGATGGCGGACAGACTTTGGGGAGAAAGGAGTGGGGAGTTACTCACTGCAAGATTCCTAGTCTCTGACTGGTTCCTGTAGCCACTATATTTATATGGCCAGTCCAATTCAAATTCTGGACAATGGTAACCCCCAGGATGTTGATAGTGAGGGATTCTGTGATGGTGATGTCATTGGATATCAAGGGGAACATTTGTTGGACATGTTCATTGCCTTGCACTTGTGTGGCACGAATATTACCTGCCACTTTTCAGCCCAGGCCTGGATATTGTCCAGGTCTTGCTGCATTTGGACATGGACAGTTTCAGCATCTGAGGAACATGGTGCAGTCGTTGTTGAATTTCGCTGTTTTGTCCGTGTCTGAACCAAGGCTGTAATGGGGTCAGGAGCTGTAAGATATGTTGGCATACCGCTTCCACACGAGCATGCATTATAAAAAGCTTACGTGCATATTACTGCCTGCCTACCAGGGACTGTAAAGGCAAAACCTTACTAGGGCACATAATCAACATCATGCATTCCTATCCTAGGAATCCGATCTTATCAGTGCAATAGAGCATGTAATGCTATACTACAGTGATGTAAACTTTACGCAAGGAATAAAACTGTAAGAGATTATATTCATTGATTCCCACAGTTATTGGATCCTTTCCAAATTAGACTCCCCTGCTCCGTCCTTCTCAGTTTCTTTCCAAGCTATATACAAGAGGAGAACTATCATTCAACATAACTACTGAGTAACATACAACATAAAAACTGAGAGAAAAAGACCTCTCTTAGAGTCTGTCTAAGATAATGAGTGTACACTTTGATGTGTTCAACCAGTGCATAAATGCATTCAGGACTGCATCAGCACCAAACCAACAGTTCTTAACAATTGTGGATAGCTAACTAGAAAGGAAGCTCATCTAACAAAGTTTTGAATCCTGTTTTCAGATGGTAAATTGGCAACATTCACAAGAAAAATGGGGAAAGAGAATGAACTTCAGTTGGCAGAGGTAGCTACTCTTCCTGTCAGTTGGCTCCTATCAGAGCAATGTGTCTTCAGGAGCTAAGAACATACAGACATACGATGAAGGAACAAGAGGAGGCCACTCAGCCCTTTGAGCCTGCTCTGCCATTTGGTAAGATCATGGCTGATCTGATTTTAACTTCAACTCTACGTTCCTGCATACCTCTGATAATCTTTCATCTCCTCGGTAATCACAAATCTACCTACCTCGGCCCTAAAAATATTTAACAATTCTGTATCCACTGCCTTTTGAGGAAGAGGATTTCAAAGGCTCACAACCCTCTGAGTGAATGCTTTCTCCTGCTTATCTCAGTTTTAAATTGGCAACCCTTTATTTTTAAATTATTATCCCTTGTTCCAGACTCTACCACAAGATGAAACATCCTTTGACATCCACCCAGCCAAGTCTCGTCAGGACCTTATATGCTTCAATTCAGTCACCTCTGACTCTTCTAAGCTCCACAGGATACAGAGCTAATCTGACCAACCTTTCCTCATGAGGCAATCTACTCATTCCAGGTACTAGTCTAGTAAATCTCAGAACTGCTTCCAATGCATTAACATCCTTCCATAAGTATAGTGACAGTACTGTATACAGTGCACATGATACAGTCTCACTAATGCCCTATATAACTGAAGCATCGCCTCCCTACTCATGCATTCAATTCACTTCACATTTAAAAATTACATTCCATTAGCTTTCCTGATTCCTTGCTGCACCTCCAGACTAAACTTGCCATTTATGTACTAGGGTAGCCAGATCTCTCTCCTAATCTGAGAATTCTGCAACACCTCATTAGGCAGCATGGTGGCCCAATGGTTAGTACTGCTATCTCACAGCACCAGGGTTCTGGGATCAATCCCAGCCTCGGGTGACTGTCTGTGTGAAGTTTGCACGTACTCCCTGTGTCTGTGGGGGTTTTCCCTGGGTGCTCCAGTTTCGTCCCAAAGATGTGCAGGTTAGGTGGATTGGCCATGGGAAATGTGGTGTTACAGGGATGGGGTGAGTCTGGGTGAAATGCTCTTCAGAGGGTTGGTATGGACTAAATGGCCTGCTTCCATGCTGTAGGGATTCTATGATTTAGACATTTTTTTTTATTCATTATGCCAAATGGGCAACTACACACTTTCCCACATGATATTCCATTTTCCAGATCTTCGCCCATTCACTTAACCTATCTAGATCCTTTTGTAGGCTTGTTGCATCCTCTTCACAATTCACTTTCCAAGCAATCTTTTTGTCATTAGCAAATTTAGCTATCATACCTTGAGTCACCTCATCCAAATCATTGGTTAGCTAACAGGAAGTGGAGAGTGGAAATAAACATGTCTTTTTTAAGGATGCCGGGGGTGAGGGGTCAGTGCTGAGATGTTAACTCTTTTCGTTTTTAAACGTCTGAAGAATCTTTTCCTGTCTGTTTTTCTGTTTTTGATTGACTTCCTTTTATACTCTAATTTTTGTCTCCTTATTAATTTTTTTGTAATTATTTGCTGGTTTTTACATTCTGTTCAATCTTTTGACCTGCCACCAATCTTTTCAAATGTATGCCTTTTCTTTGGCATTTGATAATGCTTTGACTTTTTTAACTAACCATGGATGGTGAGCTCATCCCTTACAATTTTCCTTATTCGTTGAAATGTATCAATGCTGTGCTTTCTGGAAAATTCTCCTAAAATGCTTGCCACTACATTTCAATTCACCTACCACTTAGCCTAAATTGCCAGTTCACTTTTGCTACCTCTGCTTTCATGTCCTCATAACTGCCATTGTTTAAACTCAAAAATAGTTGTCTTGGACACACACTTCTCTCTTAAACTGTATGCAAAATTCAAAATATTATAGAGTCACTTCTACCTATTACACAATGAGGTCAGTAATTAATACTAACTCACCAGTCAAAATCCAGGATAGTAATGCCTGCTCTCTGTTGGTGTGATAACATGCTGGTCTAAGAAACTGTCCTGAAAACATTCAATGAATTTGTTATCGAGATGACTTCCCATCTGATTTCTCCAGTCTATATGTAGGTTAAAATCCCCCATGATAACTGCTGTACTGTTTTGAAAAGCTCCCATTATTTCTCCCTTGATACTCTGTCCTGCCATGTGTTTACTGTTTGGGGTCTGTACACAACTCACACAAGTGAGCTCTTACCTTTATCATTCGTCATCACTCCCCAAACTGCTTCTATACCCTGGTGTCTTGAATTTAAGTCATTCCCCCCTCTCCAGTGCTAATAACACTTTTAATTCACAGAGTCACTCCTTCATCATTTCCCAGCTTTTTGTCCTTCCTACATGTCACATATCCTTCAATATTCAGGTCCCAATCTGGGTCATCCTGCAGCCATGTCTCAGTAATGGCCATTAGATCATACTTACTTGTCTCATTTTATATTGCTAGTTCATCCATTTCATTCTGAATGATACGTGCTTTCAAATGTAGTGTCTTAAGTTTTGTCCTTTTCTCATTCTTGTAACCTTCCATCTTTTATTATTCTTGTAACCTTCCATCTTGTCTACTGATTTGCTCTTAGATCTGCATTCTCTATCCATTCCTGTCATTGTCAGTTTATGATTTCCTACATTAACTCCTTCCTTTGTTGCATTTTCTTCACTCTGATTCACCACAAAAAAATGCATAAAATTACCTTCTTTAGTGAGAGCTCCACGTTGGTATCTGCATTAAAATTATACTTTGCAATAGCTTCCCCAAAATCTCGGGCCTCAGCTGGGGGAGGCGGTCTCACTGGCTGTGTCTTTTCAGTTGGTGGCAACTTCTGCAAAAAAATTAAACTTTCTTCACCAATTTATAATGTGTTTACAAGAAACGCAACATAAATGGTTCGGCATAATGCACCAACACAATAGATGAAAAGTTACAGACCTCAACATACGAAATGGGGAATATGCCAACTGCTCCATGGTGTTCACCTTCAAACCAATTTTGATCTATTTGTCTAATAATGTAGACAATGCTCCCTTTCTTGAATGGTAATTCCCTGTAGGTAAACATTTCAAAATACGTCTTATATAACGGTCACAAACCATACTGCAAGTCTGTCACATAACATCCTAAACAATTTTCTATATATTTCTAAAATAATGCGCATCAACATGGATCAATTATTAGCACTCTTGCCTCTGAGTAACAAGGCTCTAGGTTCAAGGCAAACTCCAAGGTTCGAGAACAAAAATATATCCTGACAGTCCAGTGTAGTGCTGAGGGACTGCCAGTGGTGGTCTTTCACATCATGTGTCACACTGAGACATTGTTTCCCTAATCAGGTGGATGTCAATAATCCCATGGATTATTCTAAGAAAGAGCTACATTTTTGAAAGTACCTCACTGGTTGCAAGGCATTTTGAAGTCTGGTGGTTGTGTGATAAATTACAGCAACATGGCGACAGTGTAAGACGCTCCAGCCAGAGATCCACTGTTTGCCAGACTCTCTTCCTTTCTCTTTCTTTTCTCCCATTTTGCTGCAGGTTTTTCCTCCCCCACCCCAAATTTTAGCTTCTTAAACTACCCTACCCGGAGGGAATGGAGAACGGAATCTGAGACCAGCCCAGCGGGGGAGACGAGTCAGAGACCAGGGCAGCTCGGGAAGCAAGTCGCAGCCGGAGCCCAGACTGGGAGCAGACCAAACCCGGGCTGACCTGGGAGGCAAGTCCTGGAAGTGAACCACGCCTGGAGCCCCGAGTGGGATGCACAGCGATCATGGGCTGAGTCCTGGAAGTAAGTCCCGGCCACAGCTTAGTGAGGGGAGCAGAGCGAGCGTGGGCTGAATCCCGGAAGTGAGTTATGGCCGGAGCCCGGAACGGGGAGCAGAGCGATTGTGGGCTGAGTCCCAGAAGCGAGTTGTAGGTGGAGCCCAGAGTGGGAGCAGAGCAAGCGCAGGCTGGCTGGGAGGACGAGTCCTGGAGGGGAGTCCTAGACAGAGGCCTGTCAGAAATAAAAGGACTATAACTTGAGTACTTTAAGGATAATTTTTATTATCATTCTGGACATTTTAAACTCTGTATTCCCATGCTAGTCTTCTTTTTACTATTTAATCCTGTAACAAAACTTTAAGTATTTGTACCTAGATACCCTGTACCTAAGGTGGCGCCAAAAGGTGACATTACAAACTTTTCATTGCACTCATTCAAGTGCACATAACCATAGAGGCCATTCTATTCTATAAATGCAATTCTTTCTTTCTTTCTAGTCAGCATGTGCAAAAGAAGTGACAGATGTGGATCTTTGCTGATGGTTGCAAAATGTTAGCACCATTCATGATTCCTCAGATACTGATTCAGTCAGTGTCCATATGCAGCAAGACCTGAGGCTTGGGCTGAAAAGTGGCAAGTAACATTCATGCCACAGAACTGCCACATGATGACTACCATCATCTAATGATTGATGATTGCCTTTGGTTTTCAATGCCATTACCATCGCAGAATCACTTCCTATCAGCATCCTGAGGTTGCTTTACACCAGAAACTGAATGGACAGCCACGTAGATACTACGGTGACAAGAGCAGATGTGAGCCTAGGAATTCCAAAGCGAGCAGCTCACCTCCTGAGCCTCCAAAGCCTATCGACCAGCTACAAGAACAAATTCAGGATTGTGATTAAATCCACACCCCAGCCACTGTCTTCAAAATTCAAGCCATTTGCCACTGATGCTCTGGAGCTGCATTATGTACCATCTACAAAATTAACTTCAGTCACTCACCAATGATCCTAAGACAGCAACTTCCAAACCAGGTTTTTTGCCATTTCAAGGAACAAGGGCAGCAGATACACAAGAACACCACAACCTGCAAGTTCCTTCCAAGCCGCACACCATCTGATCTATATTAATAAATCTTTGCTGTTGATCAAATTCCTGGAACTCCCTCCCAAACAGCACAATGGATGTATTTACCCTCATTGATTGTAGCGGCTCAAGAAGGCAGTCCAGGGTCACCTTCCTAAGGGCAACAGAGGCTTACCCAGCCAGCAACGCCCTTATGCCATGAATGAATAAAACAAAACTGCAGTATAACCTGCAGTGGTCTGTGAAATACTGAAATAGACTTTTGGTAAGGCGCACAGCGTCACTAGATTACTCCTATCCATGAAAGAGACCAGATAGAGTATCAGTTGCAAATCTTACCAGAAAGTCACCATGTCTGATCCATGATACTGCAATGAAGTGTCAGAAGTTGTAGTGAAGCTATAAGCCACACTTTCTGTTCTGTGCTCACTAACAGAAACCTTGTCTACACAATGTCCTGCCTAAAATGCCTGGAAAATAGCTGCTTTCAGTGTGAGTGCCTCTTGGAAGAGGTCACATAACTCCAACAGAAGAGGAAAGACATTTGTGCAAAGACATGATTGCATTTTAATCTAGACAGTCCCTGTTTCACAATAAACAACAAAAAACTAACTTGCATATAGCCTTTGTAACTGTGATTTACTAAGTTACCCAATATACACATAAACATTAGCAGTGTGTTATTCTTGTCAGTCTTGGTACATACAGACTTAAATCATGCTGGTCTCTTAAGGTACTTGTCCACATTGTGTTGGCTGTTCACCTGGATGATGTCCCCCCTCTGGAAGTGTTATGGCACTTGCTTTAGCTGCATTTCCTTTGTCTAATTGCTTTGGACTACTAGGTCTGATGGTTGATCTGTGGCTGTGGAAGTAGTGAACTCCTATCTTCCTGATCAGCTGTCTGCAGTGGACAGACAGTATCTCTAGTTTTGAGTATGTGCCTGTGGTCGTAACAGCATATCTAGTCATTTATTTCAACCAGCGCAGGTTCAAAATTGCCACTTCAGCTGTTGAAAGCACTGAAGGAATGTACCCTGATTAGCTCTCCAAAGCTGAACTCTGGCTATGGTTTAGCATCTTAAAATGAAATTTGGCTCTCTGCTTTTTCACCATGATAGTGTAACTTACACCTGTCACAACTTCTGAATTCAGTAGCATTTTTGCCTTTGGAAGAGTGGGTGCAGTGTAACATTAATTTTGGTCAGGAAGTGGCCAGGTGCTTGACTTCACACGTCGTTAATACTAGCCTTTTCTTGTTTAGTTTTAGGTTCACCTTGTGAGCTCTGTCTAGCAGTTGCATGAAATTGGGATTGTGGTGAGCAATAGATTCTCCGTTGGGTCTTCACATCCATAAGCGAGTAGATCATCCACCACAGCTTCCATGCCAAGAAGATCTCTAGCTATTTCAAATTGTCTGTGTTTGTATTTTTCTGGAGCCATGGATATGCCAAATGGCATTCGTCGGTACAGAATGTAGATAGAAAGCTGCCACTTTCATTCAGCTTCACTTGCCAGTAATCATACGTTGCATTTCAGGTGGTGAAGGTTTAATTGTTGGAATTGGAAGTGAGATTTTTTTTATTTCAGAACTCTGTTTTGATCATTTGGGTTATGCATACCCTCAGCTTTTCAAGTGGTTTCACTGCCACCATGCAGCCAATCAATTTGGTAGCAATTGCTATTTCTTTGATTAGTCCCCTCTTTTTCCAGCTCCATGACCTCTTCTTTCAGGTTTGCCTTAAGCATAAAAACCAAAAGAACTGCAGATGCTGTAAATCAGGAACAAAAACAA